AGGGTACGATCCAAGAAATATTGGATAAAGTTAACTGCTAATTTTAATACTATGAATGGCCAACTCCAGTTGTAATAGATAATATATAGTTCACAAATATTATTGATAGGCAGATATGTTCATGCTTGAGTTTCATGGCCATGATGAAACTATTCTCTGACATTTATTTATGATACAAACATGATATTTTATAAATTTTAGTGTAGTGACACTGAGAAAATGGACTTCTTGATAGTAATCTTCGCAGTGGAAAAAAGAAGAGACCCAAATGCAGCCATGAACAAAAGCACAAATTCTTAGTGGGAATTTGGCCTCTTGAGTTACCCTTCTACTTGATTTCTACCTCCAGCTTGAATTCTTTTCCAATAAGAAGTGACAATTTAGAAACTTGTACACTAACAAACTCAGAGGAGCTATCAAAATGTGACTTCATAACTGCATTAGTCATTGAACCTGTTCTATTCACAATATTCAACTCTTTCTCTGACAAATCCATTCTATTGAATTTCTGATGCTTGGGTATCCCCAAGAATGTTACCTTGTCTATGATCCACCTTTGGTCCAGAGCAAATCTTCCATTAGTCACCTTAGATGTAATAACAACGCTATTGTTCTGTATAGCCCCATAAAACCTTACCAATGTCCACTCATATTTCACCCCTGCTAAGTCTAGTGCTTCCCCATCATCCAAATACACTTCACCATAACTATTTCCACTGCCACTCATAACTACCACAAGTTCAAATGCAGTTTTCCGGGCAGCATCAATTGTCAATGCTTCTCCTTGCAAGGCCAAAATATTACCTTCCCCAATATGCACATTTATGTGATCAGGTGGAGCATCGAGAATCACATACTTGCCTGATTCTGCAATCACTGAATTTGAGACATTAAAGAGGTCAAACCAGGTTCCTTTAGGAAAGTATGCATCAACAGTGGTTGCCCCAGATTGTAGTACAGGTGATACCAGAACCCCTTTGCCTAATAGAAACTGAGAGCTTATGTCATATGTTGTGACATCCTCAGGGAATGAAAAGAAAAGAGGCCGTGCAATGGGTATCCCTTTTGTATGTGCTTCGTACATTAGTGTGTAGAAATAAGGGAGAAGACGGTAACGAAGTCCAAGCACTTTCCTAGCTGATGCTGCAACTGATTCCCAAATGTAAAGCTCTTGTCTGATGGAGTTTATTTCTGAATGATCTCTGGAAAAGGGGTAAAAAGCCCCCAACTACATTGATAGATAAAAACGAATTAGACGTGTATGCAATGGCATTTCAAAGTTTCTTTCTCCATTTTTTTCAACAAGACAAAAACCATAGTACTTTTAAGATTTCACAAATGACTACTTGTATATTTAGGCAAGGAAAACATTTAATACTTTATAACATTTCACTCTACAGAAATACTTTTCTATACTACTGCAATTGAGGATCGATTTTACCTGGATCCAGCGCTGGCAAAGTTCTTCAGTTGTATTTCCTCCGAAACCACATATATCTGCTCCAACCATTGGAATCCCAAAGATTCCAGAATTTAATATCGATGGAATTGAGTAGGCCAAATCATTCCATGTAGCAGCATTATCTCCTGTCCAATGTGCAGCATACTTACCAGAACTTACAAAAGTTGATCTACTCAGAATGAATGGCCTTTTACCAGTTATATTCACCAGTTCCTCGTTAGTTACTTTGGATTCTAGTAATCCATACAAATTGTGGGCATTATACTCAGTGATGTTACCGTAGTGTAAAGATGTGGCAGGGACTGTTCTGTAATTAATGGATCGTACAACTCCACCATTGTTAATTTTGTAAGGAGGGTTATCAAGATTAGAAGATGGAATGGGAGGAGAAGTAACGAAATTAGATAATTCATTCATGTCAAGCCAAAGACCATCAAAAGGGAGAAGGTCCCTAAATAATTTGATTTCCCCACCCCAAAATAATTGGCTTTGAGGGTTAAGAAAATCTGGGTAATAAACTGGTCCAGGCCAAACTTCACCAAGATAATTGGTTCCGTTTCTCTTTATGTAGACATCAGCCTTCAAGCCTCTGACATAGGTTGCATATGTCTCATTTACATTGATACCTGTTTCCACAATCTGCCAACAATTAATAAAAGATGCATATACGTCCTCAACCATTTAGAGCATAATATGATTTTTATCTTGTGTCAAAGTTAAGTACCTGGATCCAAGATAAGAACGTATTTCTGACCATTTTGATGAAGAGTGTCAACAAAGCTTCTCATCTTATCCAGTGGAAAGTTGATGGGATCTAAGGTGAAATCTTTAAATGCATCCATGTAATCAATATCCGTCCACATAACTTCAAGGGGTATAGCTGCTTTTGCATAGTTGGCAACCACACTCTGTATATCGCTTACATTCTTGTATCCTCATCGACACTGATGAAAACCTTCAGAAGAGACAAAAATAATGTGGAATAACAAGGCAATTAATATAACGGATTGACATGAATAGATAAAAGGAAACTGCAACTAATTAACAATTAGATTGTGATTAACTGCACATGTTAGAAGTAAATTATGTTATCAGTAACACATGGAAACTACAAGATAATAAGTTCATTTACTTACCAAAGGACCAATAAGGCATTGGAGCAGGTCTGCCAATGAGATCAGTGTATTGCTCCAACACCAGTTCCGGAGATGATCCAGCGAAAAAGTAAAGATCAAAAACTCCACCAATGGCCTTATAAGTAATGCGATCACCGCCATACACAATGTCCATTCCATTGCTGTTGAGCAGCAACACCCCATGTGAGGTGCCAGCCTTTACTGTTCCATCTGGGGAGGGTGATCTCACGTCCAAGTAAAAAGGGTGAGAGCCATAAAGGTTGACGTCCGGGTTGGCGCTTCCAATATCTGCATTCCACAGTGTAAGGGTCTGGTTGGGTCGGAGCTTGAAGGAGCTCTTGGTGTGTTCCCCGAGGCCGTAAAGAGAGGCTCTTTGTGGCGGGAGCGAGGAGGAGAGCTGCAAGTACTGGTCTTTGAAGACAAGAAAAGTCTGAGGGTTGGAAGGGTCTGGTGCGGCATTAAAGAGAACATCGTTGGAGGATTTGCGCGACAGAGTGAAACCAAATGGGGTGGTGTTGTGGAGGGTGAAAACAAGGTCTGAGTCTGGATGTGTGAGAGTGAGAGACTCTGGGGAACCATGGAGATGGCGAAGAGGTTGATACTGAGAAGGGGAGACTCTGGGAATGAGATGCTGCGGAATTTCCCATCTTTTGTTGTTGGAGTCAGTGATTCTGAGTCTGAACCTATCCTTGTTCTCAAAGCTTCCATATCCAAAACAAAAAACAGTGATTTATGTAAGTACAAAGATGATAAAGTGTTAAGAAAAGCTAATTGGTGGTTGTTACCTGGCATGAAGGGAGAGGTGAGGAATGTCGGGTCCGAACAGAGATGAAGGTTTGATAAGGTTAAGGTGTGCAATGAAAGAGTTGTTTTTTGGATAAGCATGAAGAGACGAGATAGTGTAGCCATATCCAAGTGGTGATGAAGCTGAGCAGAAGATAAGAGAAAGAAAGATAGAGAGAGAGAAGAGTAGAAGGAAAGTGGGGGCAGCCATGTGTTGAGTGTAAAATGAAGGGAATGATGTTGGAAGGAGGCATCAAAAAAAGGAAGGAATAGAAGCTGAGTTGACGCACATGTCTTCTTACAAGACCTTTACATTCTAGGAACCAACGACCAAGGTTTGTTCGCCCAACTATACATGTTTCAGAACATGTATTCATTCACATCTAATATGTAAATTCTATCCTTGTAATAATTAACTATTACGATAATATGTAAAGTTGTTTCTATGATTAAAATAATATAGCGAATAACTTAAATAAATTTAATAATTTTCTTTCTGAAATAACATTTATTAAGTATATTTTATTATAATAATTGAGTGTAATGCTTACTTGTATTTTGCCCTCTGGAATGGGTATACAACGACGTTGCTGACTTCAAAAATAAAATTGAGTACTTCAATGTATAGTATAAAAAATTCTTCTTCTTACTATATTTAGTGTATAACAAATCCCTTTTTTTTTAACCTACTGTTGAGCCGATCCTAGTAGGTGTATTAATTATTATAAGTACAAAAATGTTAATAATTGGAAATCATGCTTTTCAAAATTATAATTCTAATAAAAATGGATTTATGAATAAAAAAATGGAGAGATTTTACTGATGTTAGATAACCAAATTCTTAAAAATAATCATCAACAAAAGCAATAATTTTAACTTATATTAAACATTTAAAGGATATTTTAAAATAAAATATTAATATTTTTAGTAAAGTTTTTTATTAAAAAAAATTGCGTCATCTTTAAGTTCAATTTAAATATCGATAAATAATATATTTAGTCTAACTTTGTGATTTGATAATTTATATATATATATATATATATATATATATATATTATAATTTAAAAAAATTGAAAAGTAAAATAGATTTTGTAATATGTCATTGAAATATGTTGAAAAATATTATAAACATAATATACAGAGACAGTTTTGTCATTGAAAAGGAAAATGAAGAAATATTTAAAGTGATATTAGTCTCGACTATTAAGTAATGTGAAATTATTAGTATACTAAAATAAGTTTATCCAAATCAGTTGAATAACATTTTTAGGTCGTATATGAAATATTGTTCACTTTAAAATACAAAACCCGTCATCGTTTCATCCTTAAAATACTTCTTAAAGAATGGGAGGAGAGTAAATATTTACACCGTCATTTACCTCAATTCTAAATCATTGGATTATTGAATGTATTTATAGTTTTGTCATTGTGTTGTTTATATACTTTGTATTCTTCAATTATAAATTTATTCATTTATGTTTAGTTAAGCCACCTACTTCTTAAAGGTGATACTGGATTTATGATGTCATTAAGAAAAAGAGAGTTTAAGTCTAATTTATTTTTATAACAAGAAAATATTCTCTTAAAAAATAATGTTGTTTTATAATAAGAATAGAGTTTAAGTTATAGGATGCTTTTGTGGAAATCATGTGAATCCATATGAATAGTGCACTGCTAGCCTGCATGCAACTAAATTGTGAGCAATTACCATTACTAGATAATACTCATTTCTATTCTGTAACATTTATTTGTAACACAAAAATTGACATTTTATGGATGTTGGAGCTGTGACCTGAGAAATAGAAATCCTTAACAGTAACCATGTCACTGGTAAGAAAAAAGGACTCAGAGATGCAACCACAAAGAAAGCACAAATTCTCGGTGGGAATTCGCAATCTTAAAAGGTACCCTTCTACTTGATTTCTATCTCCAGCTTGAATTCCTCTCCAATAAGAAGTGACAATTTAGAAATTTGTACACTAACAAACTCAGAGGAGCTATCAAAATGTGACTTCATAACTGCATTAGTCAATGAACTTGTTCTATTCACAATATTCAACTCTTTCTCTGACAAATCCATTCTATTGAATTTCTGATGCTTGGGTATCCCCAAGAAAGTTACCTTGTCTATGATCCACCTTTGGTCCATAGCAAATCTTCCATTAGTCACCTTAGATGTAATAACAACGATATTGTTCTGTATAGCCCCATAAAACCTTACCAATGTCCACTCATATTTCACCCCTGCTACGTCTAATGCTTCCCCATCATCCATATACACTTCACCATAACTATTTCCACTGCCACTCATAACTACCACAAGTTCAAATGCAGTTTTCCGGGCAGCATCAGTTGTCCATGCTTCTCCTTGCAAAGCCAAAACATTACCTTCCCCAACATGCACATTTATGTGATCAGGTGGAGCATCGAGAGTCACATACTTGCCTGATTCTGCAATCACTGAATTTGAGACATTAAATAGGTCAAACCAGGTTCCTTTAGGAAAGTATGCATCAACAGTGGTTGCCCCAGATTGTAGTACAGGTGATACCAGAACCCCTTTGCCTAATAGAAACTGAGAGCTTATTTCATATGTTGTGACATCCTCAGGGAATGAAAAGAAAAGAGGCCGTGCAATGGGTATCCCTTTTGTATGTGCTTCGTACATTAGTGTGTAGAAATAAGGGAGAAGACGGTAACGAAGTCCAAGCACTTTCCTAGCTGATGCCGCAACTGATTCCCAAATGTAAAGCTCTTGTCTGATGGAGTTTTTATCTGAATGATCTCTGGCAAAGGGGTAGAAAGCCCCCAACTACAGTTCGAAAAACAAGACTTGTTAGATATGTATGCCATGACATTTCATTGTTCGTTTCTGCATGCATTTCCAACAAAGCAATGGGTTTTCACAAGTGACTAGTTTTATCTTTAGGCTAGGAAAGCTATGAACACAACAACATTTCACACTATAAAAATATTACTCCATACCACTGCACCTGAGGGACGATTTTACCTGGATCCAGCGCCGGCAAAGTTCTTCAGTTGTATTTTCACCAAAACCACAGATATCTGCTCCAACCATCGGAATTCCAAAGATTCCAGAATTTAATATCGATGGAATTGAATATGCCAAATCGTTCCATGTAGCAGCATTATCTCCTGTCCAATGGGCAGCATACTTACCAGAACTCACAAAAGTTGATCTAGTTAGGACGAATGGCCTTTTACCAGTTATATCCACCAATGCCTTGTTAGTAACTTTGGATTCTAGCAGTCCATACAAATTGTGGGCATTGTACTCAGTGACATTACCATAGTGCAAAGATGTTGCTGGGACCGTTCTGTCATTAATGGGTCGTTGGTCTCCAACATTGTTAATTTTATAGGGAGGGTTATCAAGACTAGAAGACGGAATGGAGGGAGAAGTAATGAAATTAGATAACTCATTCATGTCAATCCAGAGACCATCAAAAGGCAGCTGATCCCTAAATAATTTGATTTCCCCACCCCAAAATGCTTGGCTTCCAGGGTTTAGGAAATCAGGGTAATAAACTTCTCCAGGCCAAACTTTACCAAGATAGTTGCTTCCATTTCTCTTTATGTAGATATCAGCCTTCAAACCTCTAACGTAGGTTTCATATGTCTCATTTACACTGATACCTGTTTCCAAAATCTACCTCAAATTAATGAAATATGTAATGATGCATCATCAAACACTAAGAGCAGAGTATAGTATTAGAGATTTGAAAGAATTTCTATGGTGTCAAAACTATGTACCTGGATCCAGGATAAGTACGTATTTCTGACCATTTTTGTGAAGAGTGTCAACAAAACTTCTCATCTTCTCAAGTGGAAAGTTGATGGGATCAAATGTAAAATCTTTATATGCATCCATATAATCAATATCTGTCCACATTACTTCAAGGGGTATAGCTGCTTTTGCATAGTTAGCAACCACACCCTGGAGATCACTTACATTCTTGTAGCCATATCGACACTGATGAAAACCTTCACAAGAGATATTACTGATGTGGGTTAACAAGGGAAGTAAATATCCATGGGTACAATCATAAAGTTCACAGGATGCACCGATAAATTTTTAATTCAATGAGACAATGAATCACGCGTCTGTTCTTGGAGGAAACAGAGTAACAAGATTCATCGTTATCAAAACAAAAACAAAACAAAAACAAAACAAAAAATGTGATAACTTGTTAATGCTAAGAAAAAGAGACTTTATTCGCTGTTAATGATACAGTATAGAACCGTAGAGAAACTTTCATCTCCTTTCAAGTTTCAAGTTTCAAAGCTTTGACACTTCTATATTCCTCTTTCTTTATTTTACTATAACCACAGTTAAAAATAAAGTAATCAAAGTCTCAAAAGCTTTAAAAAAACCGTCGGCACTGAAATTTTGACCGCAATATTTAGGATTTTATTTGACATCATCAATCGCATTTGTCTGTAACTTTTAGCAATATAAAAGATTGGAAGGAAATTGCTACGATTGTGGCTGCAATTTAAAACTTGAAGTTAAGTACAAGGGTGTATTGTGACTTACCAAAGGACCAATAAGGCATTGGAGCAGGCCTGCCAATGAGTTCGGTGTACTGTTCCAACACCAGCTCTGGGGAGGATCCAGCAAAGAAATAGAGATCAAAAACCCCACCAATGGCCTTATAAGTAATGCGATCACCGCCATACACAATATCCATTCCATTGCTGTTGAGCAGCAACACCCCATGTGAGGTGCCAGCCTTCACTGTTCCATCTGGGGAGGGTGATCTCACGTCCAAGTAAAAAGGGTGAGAGCCATAAAGGTTCAAGTCCGGGTTGGCGCTTGCAATATCTGCATTCCACAGTGTAAGGGTCTGGTTGGGTCGGAGCTTGAAGGAACTCTTGGTGTGTTCCCCGAGGCCGTAAAGAGAGGCTCTTTGTAGCGGGAGTGAGGAGGAGAGCTGCAAGTACTGGTCTTTGAAGACAAGAAAAGTTTGAGGGTTGGAAGGGTCAGGTGCGGCATTAAAGAGAACATCGTTGGAGGATTTGCGCGACAGAGTGAAGCCAAATGGGGTGGTGTTGTGGAGGGTGAAAACAAGGTCTGAGTCTGGACGTGTAAGAGTGAGAGAGTGTTGGAAACCTTGTTTGCTATTGAGGAAGCGAAGAGGGTGATACGGAGAAGAAGAAGCTCTGGGAATGACATGCTGTGGAATTTCCCATCTTTGGTGATTAGAGTCAGTGATTCTCACTCTCAACCTATCCTTGTTCTCAAAACTGCATTTCAGAAAAAACAGTTACTTATCTATATAGATAATAGAAAAATATGTCAAATTAAGGGTACGAAACATGTAGAGGAGTAAACGAACAACATTGAATGAGGCTAATTAATCAGCAGCAGTTGTTGTTGTTACCTAGCAGAGAGGGAGAGGTGTGGTATGTCGGGTCCGAAAACAGAGGAGGATTTGATAAGGTTAAGGTTTGCAATCAAAGAGTTGATTATGGGATAATTGTTAACGGTTGAGATGGTGTAGCCATAACCAACTGGTTTTTCTTCTGTCGGTGAAGCGCAGGAGAAGATGAGAAAAACACAAACAGTGAAGATAGTGGGTGTGAGTTGAATGTTCCATGGTGTAGCCATAGTCTGAGAGTTGAAGAGATAGAAAATGATAGCATATAGATTCATTATGTACATTGGCTCGCGTTGGAGACAGAGAAAGAAAGGAAGGTGATTGGTGGAACTGTATGTAGAGGACCATTCTTGGCTTCTTGGAACCAACTACCAATGTTTTCCCACGTGTTTTTTTATGATTAAGTTTACATTTACCAATTTATTTATTAAATATGTAGGGATATCATGTCTAAAACAACATTATATTTTGTTTTCTTCTTTTTTTATAATAAGAAAAGTCAAAAAATGCAATGATAAAATATACGGCAAAAAAATTAGATTGGATATTGTTTTCTTATTTTCTTCTACTCCATTCATCATGCATTTGTATCGTTGGATGGTTGCTTCCTCTTGTCACTCTTTTCTAAGAAAAAAATATTATCATCACCTTCGAAAATCGAAAGTCCTTGACTTCATCGGATCGATGAAGCAATGATAAAGATGAAGAAACTGTGTCGTTTTGTGTTTCATTCCAACTTTGCTACCACTTGCTTTGCTTCAAGCCGTTGAAACTTTGAAATTGCGTGCATCGTTTGATTACTATTGGTGATTGCTTTGGTCCATGACTTATATCTTTTGTCCCCACCTTTTTAAAAATTTATATCTACCAATTACGAATTATAGGGTTTTTTTTTCAATACTCCTAATAATTAGGTATTCTAAAATTCTATTTCATATCAAACAAATTTTGGTTTTCATGGTGTAGTTAAAAGTAAAGTGCTTATTTTTAATTACAATTGTATTCTCAGATTGAGAATTGCACTATCCTTTTTCATAAGAGGTACAAGTGTGAAATCTAATATCAATTATTTTCGGTACAAATAAACATTTTTTGGCATGTTGTGTAATTTTCTTGGAAAATCGTTATTTTAGTATATTTTTAAAAAAATCGTATCAACTTGGAGTATGGAAGAGTTGAAAGACCATAATTTTTATTTATTTAATTCTCCGAAATTGACTGAATTTAGCCTTAAAAGACTCTTCGAAATTATTTCAGACATATAAGATTTAAAAAAAAATTGCAGGAATTGGTACTTTTTCGAGATTTATAATTCTTAACATTTTTTAGATGTTGCATAAAGACATCGTGTTATTCTTCTACTCCGAAATTTTTACTTTTAAACTTTTCATAAATATTATTTTAATACATCAATTTATTTACTATATAATTGCAAAAAAAAAAAATATAAAGTTGTTGTTGTGAGCACTAAAAATTGTTTCACTAGGTTATTTAATTTTTAATTACCTAAAAAATATAATTATTTAAAATGATAAAATGTCATTTTTAAGATCAGAAAAAGCATTTAGTAACGCTAAATTAGATTAAATGTTTAATGGAATGGTTTATTTACTATTTAGCTCTGTCATTCTCATAAGTACGTACATTTAAAAGTTAGAACTAAGAATACTCATTTTATAGGATCAGAATTACCTAACCAATCTGATAATTTGAAACGATTTAATTGATTGATAAACAATTAGATTCAATCTTATCTAACCAAACTAATCTAGTGATAGTTACTTTATACATTGAATTTGAGTTTTATAAACTCATAATAATTGTTTGATTTCGATCTGTTATTCTTTTAAACAATTTAAGGTAAACTATACCTGGAGAAAAGGGACACAAATCTTATGATATTTTCTTAAATTTAACTCACCTTTCATGTCATAAAAAATATATATTGGGATAGTAATAAAATCACACTATTATATCATATCAACACACACACAAAAAAAACAAATTATAATAGTTTATAATTATTATTATATTTTATCCTATCATATCTAAATAAGTAAAGTATTAGTAATTCCTTACCAACAAGTTATAGACCTTACATGTTGGACCATCCAAATTAGAATACCTACGTCTCTGACATATGTTGTAACTCTTGTTTGCTAAAAGGTTTTGGGCCTTCTTTTGGTAAACTCTACATTGCTATTAAAACCCTAACATGTTGATGTTCTTTTTCTTTTCTGAAAAAACAAAGAAGTCTCCAACGAAAATGCTACTACTACTAATTAACATACACACGATGATATTATTTTTTTTTTTCAATAGAACAGATAGATTAACACTTAGCTAATGTGTTATACTTATTTTTTGTCAATAAAACATATGACATATGAATTAACCTTTTGATTCATTGACTCACAAACCAATCAATCAATTGACTTTTCCTTATCGATTAATGAATCAATAGCAAAATCAACTGATTCAAAAATAAAATTCAGATTGATATTTGATAACAAACTATAATTACAAATTAACCAACAATGATTAAAGTAAAAATACATAACATCAATTATATATAAAAGTTTAAAATAAGTTTCTTGAAATATTAATTATACATTAAATTCTCTATAATATTTTAGTATTGACATCTCAATTGATCATTTAGTTTAAATCATTCGATTGATCATCCGACCTTAACTATTCAGCCTCAATTATTTGATCAGTTATATAATATTAATTTTTTTATTAACTTCTAAATCTTAACATTTTAGCTTGACCATTCTGTTTTTGTCACTTAATTTCATCCTCTCGTCCACCTTTCGATTTCAATCATTCGATCAACTAATCATTTAATCAATCATTAGGTTATTTATGTTGCATATTTTTATTTTGAAATAAATATAAACATAACATTTTTTTATTAAACGGAAAATATTTAAGTTATTTCAATCGAAATCAAATTTCTTTTCTCAATTAGAATTGAATAATTTAATATTTATAATAAGAATATTTAATATTTTTATGTGATTGTAGATAAAACAATGAAAACCAAACGCAAATCATTCAACTTAAAAATAAATGGTCCTTGTTATTTTAACTCGGTGATTATCTTCTTCTGTAATATTATTAAGAATGACAATTTCCCTTACTATTATATATAATTCGTAGTGCATTGCACTTGAAAAAAGTGCTAGCAAAATAATTATTTAATTAGTAAAACTCTGCACTTAAGTTTGTAGATCAATGTTCGGATCAATATACAAATTCTCATGTCATACTCAAATTTAAGGATTATATATTATCTATACTTATATCAATATTAGTTAATATGTAAATTCTATATAAAAATTAAAATGAATGACAATTTTATTTATATTCTCTCCCAATAATATTCATAGTAGTTGATAAACTTTATATTTATTCTTATATTTATCTTCATTCTCATATTTATTCTTATACATTTATCTTCATTCTCATATTTATTCTTGTCTTAAATGATTAAAAGAATCATATTTTTTTTAAGTAATGTGAAAAGATTAGTTTTACTTTTATTTTTAATCATTGATTTTGTTTTGTTTGAAACATGTTTATTTCTTTTGCTTCAAAACATTTCCACTTATTTAATATCCATTAAATTCATTCAAATCTCTAAAGAGTTGGTTATATTAATTATGATAATCTTAATTATATTTTTTTACCATATATTTAAATGATGTATTGTATGTTTTAGAAAATATAAATATCAATTTTATTGGATTAAATAGAAACATGATTTCTTTTTTACCAAAAGAACTGATAAATTCTTCGTCGGTGGCACCGCTTGCAGCATAGCTGGTGTGCTTTCTCTGCAGAACCGCTTGCAACACAGCTAAGCTACTGCTCTTCCTTTATTTGTTTTCAGTGATAAGTCTTTCTTTTAACAGCAGTTTCAGTTTTAGTTTTGTTTTTTTGTAGATGTTAATTTATTTCATTTCTATAATAATCAAGTGATAATTTATTTTTTATATTATCATAAATATATAAAAAAAAATTGACAAAGTCCCCCCAAATTATGAGAAACTCCACCACTCTTTGGACGTGTTACTGTTGACATAATTGTTCCGATTATAAGTTATCCAATAGTTAGATTAATTTAATTAATACATTCTACTAATTTAACCACATATGAAAATGTAGAATATGTGTATCTCATATGAAGATGCATGGTTATTATTGTTTTTAATAGGGAAACATAACTTCTTAATTAGAAGTTGTTTGGCCTTCACGATTTATCTATTTTTCTATTTTGAAATTTGTTTATCTATTTCTGTAATATGTGATGCCTGGACATTCCTAGAGACACAGACAATCTCAACCCAATTATAATTAGAATGTACTATTTTTCTATATTATTTTTTAATCTTGAAAGAAACTGTAAAATTATATTTGTTTACAACAAATCATGATATAAATGGTTTTATTTCTCGTGGATACTGACGATAACTTTATTAAGAAAAAAATTATTTAGATGTTACTTAAATAAATTAAATTATTATACTATGGCGACCGATGTAATTTTACATATAAAAGTATAATTAAAAAAAACTACAATATGATATATAGAATAGTTAATTATGACTCTTAAATAATATTAATTTTTAAAAAGTAAATGATTATATTTATTGAATACTTAAAAATTATTATTATAACTGATTAGTAATCTAAAATTAATTTAAGTTTTTTATTACCTTTAACTAGTATCATAGTACCGACCATAGCTTGGAGAAGATAAAAGAATTAAATGAAAATCAAAGTTAAGTTAAAATTGTGTAAGTGTATCTCTCTACCCTACCTACAAAAATAATGGTCTTTAAAAATAAATCTTTTTATTTTTCAAATTTTTATTTTATAATCTTCAATATTTTCTTGGTGGGCAATTTTTTTCAGTTCAGTCTCATAGTTTTGAAACTTCTTCTTACTGTGGTCTGTCACGC